ATTTCTCGCGCGCAAGAGCTACACGAGGTCCTAAGTATACAGTAATCATATCGAAAGCGATTAATGACAGCAGACGAGAACGGCGGCGGTGCGATGGGTGCCCGGGATGCTGCGAGCGGATGAGCACATTACTATTGGTCGTACGACGAGGCCATGTCGACGCACCAGATGTGTGCGTGGATCATGAATGTCGTGTGCCCGCTGCGGCCTCCACCTTCAACACCTCTGCTAGCAACGCGTCCCGGCCCTCCTCCAAGAACTGGATGTATTCCTTCGCCTTGAATAAGATGCCGCTCTTCCCCTTGCTCCCGCGCCCCCTGCTCCCGCTGCCCTTCGGCCGGCCTCTCGTCGGCATCCCTGCCCCTGGCGGTGCGCCTGCAGGGGCCAGCAATGTTGTGAGCTGCATGTACCCGTCCCGTATAGCGTTCCGGCGTTTCTGCTCGGACAGAATGTGGTTGAGCCTTTTCTGCGGGGTTGAGAGCAGGGCCTTTGGCCGTGAGGACGACGGCGAGGCAGAAGAGCTGGCTCGCGGCTCTGGTTCTGACGGCGAGTGTTCTGACGGCGCCGATGGCTGGGGTGCGTGGATGCTAGGATGCGGATAGTGGGGTGGTCGTTCGTTGAGCGCAGGATCGATGTGCTGCGACCCTAGTGGGGGCGGCGGTAATGGTGGAGGAATGAGACCCAGTCCACGCGGGTCTGGTAGCGGTGCATTGTCAAACTGATGCGGTGGAAAGGCGTGCTCGGGAGGGCCGTCAAACGACGGACCGCTGAGCGCAGGACCTGTCTGCCCGAGGTCAAGGTCGAAGTCGAAGGTGAAGTTCTCGAGGAAGCCGAGGAGGTCTGTGGTCTCGGAGGGCGAGAAGAGCTCTGCAGAGGAGGGGAGCGGGGGCGGCGAGGGGAAGAAGGAGGCTGCAGCGGCGGGGTTGAAGAACTGGAGGTCGTCGAATGCGCCTGGCGGCGGCGGTGGGGGCGGCTCGTGCGGGGACATGGCTGCAAGAACTGTCCGGCCAGGACGCCTGTCCGGGGCCGGGGTGCAGCCGGGCCGCAGCAGGCGGCCGCGGCCGCGGCCTCGGCCGGTGGGCGGCGGCGTGGGCGGGGCGTGCTGGGGGCGTGGGCGGGGCGTGGGAGGGCCGTGATTGGCTCCGGGCTGCCGGCATGGGCACGGGACGGGCATGTCCGCGTGTGGCCCGCAGGCTAGCGAGAGCCGCTCCGAAGCACCGCCCATCTCCTCCATGTCGGCCCTCAGCGAGGCCTCCACGCCGGCCCAGGACGCCGCCGCGCCGTCCCTCGACGCCCACCACCACCAACTCCAGCACGCCCATCATCTCGCGGGCGACCTCCAGGCACAGGGCGTCCTCCACGGCGGCCCCGCGCCTGCCTCCTCGCCCGAGTCCAGCCGCAAACGTGAGCGCATCCGGCCCCTCCCCATCTGCGCCCGTCCGGCACTGAGCGGGCATTAATTCGCAGCTAAAGCACCGTCTGTGCGCCGGGCGTGCACCGCGTGCCATGCGGGTAAAACAAGGTGCAGCGAGGTCCTCCCGTGCCAGGTAAATCTGGCCTGTCTGCAGACTGCCCCCACCTCCCATCAATTTCTGACCCCGTCGTCCGGCCAGAGCTGTCTGAAGCGAGGCTTGGGCGAACAGTGTCAGTATCCCGACCCCGATGCCGACACCAACGCGGCCCACAATCAGCCGCCGCGTAAGACCTATGCGTCTATATCTAAATCGTCGTTCTCACTGCCCCGTCTGTCAGCCCCGGTGCAGTTCGCTCCGCCTCCGGGCATGTATCCGCCGCCGCCGCCACCGCCGATGCAGCCCCTGGGCCATGCATATTACGACTACAACGCCTTCACAGCCAATGCGCCTGCAGCCAGCGCGTCGGCGTCTGCATCTACATCCAACTTCCGCCCCACCAAACGTCCGCGCAACCTCACAGAAGAGGAGGCGGCAGCCATCACCCGCAACTTCACGCGCGGCGACTTCTTCGTCGGCACCAGCGCCCCCGTGCGCATCGATCCTCGTCTCCCCGTCCGACTGACGCTGGCCGAAGGAGACCAGGTTCACTTCACCATTGGCGAAGCTATCGTCTAAACGGATCATGTATTCATAGTTCGTCTCGTTGTCCGTGTCTTGTATTTTTGCGTCTACTCTTGTCATCTTGTTTTGTCGCATGTTCGCTGTGTATGTCGATTGATCTCTAGTCTGGAGCCTCCGAGTCTGATTAATGTATACCGTTGTGATCTTGTACCACTTTGGGACCCGCCTTACTTTTTTTGTTGTCTTCCGATCCCTCTGCATCTATTCACAGGCACTAGGTATGTGTTCTCCCTTGTAGCGTTCTGCCTGGCTTACATTGGTGTACTACGGCCGTTTGCCTGACAGCAGGATGCTTTAGTTCTTCAAACCGACATGCAAAGGTAGTGTGCAGCGCTCGTCTAAACTGGAACCAGCCAGGAGTCGAACCCGCTCAGCCGCTAGACCTTGCGCTTCTATGATCGCGCACATCGAAGGTATACTGTCAGTCGTGGCAGCGCTCTAACGTTACGAGAATGAATGCCGTCAAAGTACGCAACGTTCGTGTTGTCGTCGGGGGCCTCGGTAGAGGAAGTACCGCGCCAGAAGCGGCACTCGGCGATCGAGCGTCCTGTCAACTTATCAACGCCAGCCGCATCGGAGAACAGCATCTGTGGGTTCGCGGGCCCCGCGGCTGACATGAAGTGCAGGCTGACGATCGGGTCGACACTTCCATGTCATCCGCGTCAGCCGCAAGCCATCATCAATGGATACAGCCCCGTCGCTGAGTCTTGTCTTCCCCGCTCCGGTGTTCCAAGTCATGACGATCGCTTATCGTGTCCAGGGGACCGCAATTTAAACCACGGAAGTTATGTACGCGACGTCGCCCAAGATTGTTCCGACAAGGTGAGCCCAAGCAGGAAGACAACACACTGAGAGCTCAATGCCAGTGAGCGAATGTACCGCAGAAATGGGAGGCTCTACCGTTGTGAGTATGTGACAAGGAGGGCAGGCACGGCACGCCGCCTTCGTGTTGTCGTCAGGAAAATCGGACGGGGTGCTCTCGATCGTCCTTCCCCTGCCACGGCACAGGAAGTACCACTGGCAGCCGCATTCGACGATCGTGCGCCCCGCCAACATCAGCGTCAGCCACGTCGGAGAAACAGCTACGAGGCTGACCGGATGGGCAGGAACTCAATTCGTCCGAGGCGCGCGGGGGTTGACGGCTCTTGTACCTTTGCGGACTCCGTGGCTGACACGCAGTGCAGGCTGACGATCGGGGCGACACTTCCATGTCGTCCATGTCAGCCGCAAGCCATTGTATCTGGATACAATCCTCTTGCTGATTCTTATGTTCTCCGCTCTGGTGTCCGAAGTCATGACGCTCACGGCGACTCGGAACTCCCGAGGTACGATGGTTGAGGCAATGAATTGTCTACTCCGTCTCTCGACTCTGCCTGAAGAGACTAGGTGGGGAAGTCGGTTCAGGACGCCCTCGATCGTCCTGCTAACATCACGTCAGCCCCGTCGGGGATCATAAACGTTCGACCTGTCAGTTCGCCGCTGTTCTCTCTGCGAATAACGGCGAATGAAGAGCGGGCATATCTAGGGCTGCAGGCTGCATGACGTGAGTACTCGGTTAGATTTGCGGAAAAGCACGGGAGGGTGCCAGGAGTGAAGAGGCTGGTAAGACAGGGTGGAAGAGCTCGGCAAGCACGCGGCAAAGGAGGCTATGGTTGTCAAGTACGGGCACCTATCTTTGTCGTGTTCAGTATCGCGCCCTAGTCCGTCTCTGCCCCCTATCCGTCTGCCACGGTCGCCCGTCGTACGCCCTCGGAGGTGAGCCCTTTAGCACTTGTCGTGCGTGCATGTCCGTCAGCTGGACGATTGCCCTCGCAGGGTGACCTACGTCTATCCCATGTTCGACGGCCATTCCATACATCGCCGTCCTCCCTGCATTTCACCTTGTCTCTTCGACCTTACCATGGTCCGTACTGCCTCGCTATGATGCTCACTGCATGCTGATGGCCATTGTATTAAAGTACAACATGATGTTCAACATGTTCTCTAGCGGTTGGCGACATGGTATTCACCGGTTTTGTATACATGCACAGCAGCAATACTCGGCGGTAGGCGTGTTTGCTCTGGCATCTTGAATGCTTCGTCCGCGAGAGTGTCGGTGACGTTATGGCTAAATGCTGCAAAATCAGATTCAATGAATTGGCGCAAAGCAAAATTCCGGACGTGAGCTTCTGAACAAGAGGCATGATATGGGGGAGGATGGGCTTCACCGCCTGCACATCGGAGAACAGGGACATCTAGTCAATTTGACTGAGCTGGTCGTATATGGTCCGCACGCCCTCAGACATTCCAAGTTGAAGTCGCTCGGCCCGTCGAGCATAATCTGTTAGTCGGTCCGTTGTGCTTCATCCACCCTCCTCCTGTGGTTTGCCTTGCCAGAGGGCGCGCTGCCAGTGCCGGTTGCCAAGGGAGCGCACTGCCCACTAGCCGTACCAGACTCCGAGCCATCATGCTCGCGCTGTCGGTCGTCGCCATCGGCAGTCGCCTTCCACGGAGCTATCCCTGGGACGTCACCCAGAGTCGTCCCAACAACAAACAGTCATTTTACCTTGCTCTAGAGTCGGACGACGTGAGCTAAAATTGACGCAGACGATGAATCATGACACCCGCAGTAGATTAGCAGTGACCGTCGAGAGGCCCGGAGGTCATGGCAAATACACACATGTGATGCGAGTATGACTCCCATTGCTTGTCCCTCTTCACCTCGCAGTTGACGTATGCTTGGCACAACAGGCACTGCCTTCGGTCTGAGAATATGTCACATTGCAATATCAACAACAGACACAGCCAACCTCGTGGAAGACAAGGTTCGCCTTATGAAAGGTTCTGCCAGTGGCATGCTTGTGGGCCAGCAGAGAATCGAAGACTTCTTGATCCATTGTACATTTTTTGCTCCCCAGTCTGCATGGTGAGATGGCCGAGCGGTCTAAGGCGCCAGACTAAGGTGTTCTAAGGAAGTAACTAGCTTCCTCTTGCAGTAACTCACTGTAATCTGGTCCGAAAGGGCGTGGGTTCGAATCCCACTCTCATCATTGCTTTTACTCCTTTATAGAAGGTACTCTTTTGCTTCTGAACATTCAGAAAAATCGATGGAGGAGAGGGGAGACTGGCAAACGGTCGATGTACGCAGCATCTTTGCAGGGTAGTTCGGCGATGGGCGCCCGCTCATCGGCGCCCGAAGCTAGGCTGGTAAGTACCAGCAGCCATTCAACAGTTCTAACTCGTATGAACTCGCGCTATTGCGTGCCGCAGTCCTGTGGTATATATATGCAATGCGAATCTATTTCCCAACGCGAATTATCTTCCGAAGTTGACGCCTTGAGTAGGGCGCGGCCGCGAGCCGACTCAGCGGCCGACTCGGAGGCGCCATATGATGAACAAATCTAGTCCGGCACCGGCAAGCATCATCCACACTAATTAGTTTTGGATGGCACCGACACCGACACTGGCTAGCAGCATAATTGCACGGAGTCAGCTACACTATCGAGAACTGTCATGTCAGGACACTAGCCTCAACAAGCGGACGCCGTCATAGTAATCAGCGGCTGCAAGTTTATACTTGTCTCATTTTGGGAAGACTCTGGATTGCTTTGGAGGTCGATGTCGGAAGACACGTCCCTGGGCAGTGCATGCGAATGACGTGAGGATTGGACTGGTAATACACGTTACTATACAGACAGCACCGGAAAACAGACGTAACAGCGATCGTCAAAAACGTATATGTCATGGCTCGTCGATTTTGCCCTTCTCCTCCCTGAGCTCCGTGATCTGGGTGTCCACCTTGCTGCCCGCATCGATCTTGTCGTGGATGTGCTTCTCGGCAGGGCGCCAGCTGCTCGACTGCCACGGCGGAATGCGCGCGCGGTAGAGCTCGTCGACCTCCTCGAGCGAGAGGCCCTTGGTCTCGGGGATGAACAGGTAAACGTACACGAAGCCGAACACGAGCATGCCGCAGAAGATGAGAAGGATGAGGGGCCCGATGTCGTCTGCTATCCTGGGCGAGAAGAACGAGAGCAGGAAGTTCCAGACCCAATCTGGATGGCGATGTCAACGTACAACGCGGACAGGACCGAGGATGAGCCACTCACTCGTCGCCGACCCAAGCGCAATGCATTTCGGCCGGACACGCAGCGGGAACGACTCGCCGAGGTAAACCCAAGGCGTGGGGCCCCAGAAGACCGAGTAGCCCAAGACGTGCAGCACGGCGAACGCGATGAGGACGTTGCCGCCCATCTTGTTCGTCGATGTCAGCTGGTCGGTGGGTGTGCCCGATGGCGCGAGCAGGAAGTGGCCAACGAGACCGGCAATGAGAGCGCACACGGCTTCAAGTATGGCACCGGTCATTAGCGACTACGAAAAACGCGACGATGAGTGAATTATGCGACGGGGATAAAGCTATAGAAACGTACCTTTCGGCGACCCCATGTGTCGATGAGGTAGAGAGCGGGGATAGTACCGGCCAGGGAGACGGCGCCAAGGATGACCTGGATCACGTAGGCGGACAGCTGCGTACCCGCGCTCTTGAAGAAGGTATCGCCGTAGTAGTCTACAACCCGCCGTCAGTCCCGTCACAGCGCGAACTACCGAGGCCGATCACTCACAGTAGAAGTTCTGTCCGTTCAGCTGCTGGATGAACTGGAGCATCATACCGTTGATCGTGCGCTTCCAGAGCATGTTGCGCGGTGAGAAGCACTCCAGCCAGGTCGCCTTTCCGCCGTCATTCTCCGCGTGGATGCCGAACTCGAGCTCCTCAATGATCTCGAGTACCACGGGGTCGTCCTCCGGCACGCTGTTCAGCTCCGCAACAACTACGCGCGCCTCGATCTCCCTCCCAGTGCCGAGCAGGTGCCGGGGTGACTCAGGTAGGAAGAAGATGCCAGAGAGGAGAATGAAGCCCCAAGCGATCTGCAGACCAACGGGGATACGCCAGGACGCAGGCCCCTTGATGGAGTGCGTTCCGAGGTCGATTACATAGGAGACGAAGATGCCCATGATGATCTGCACTTGGTACAGCACGAGGAGCATGCCACGCAAAGCCTTCGGTGCAGTCTCTCCATTGTAGAGTGGCACGATAGCTTGGAGCAAATCATCAGTGAACATGGCTGGATGATGAATATGTATCGACTCACCTGAGAGGGCGCCTACGCCCAACCCAGCAATGAAGCGGCCGACGACGATCTGAGCGAGGGAGTGTACCGTTGCAGTTTGTAGAACGGTGCCAATGGTGAAGATGAATGACCAAATGAGGATAGAACCGCGCCTGCCCCAACGATCGGAAGTGAATGCTTGCGCGATGGCGCCCACAATTGTTCTATACGCATCAATCAGCTGTCGGTGCATGTTACGACGAGGACCCGGCGCACCCAGCAGAAAGCAACGAGGTGATGATAGATTGCCGAGAACTCGAGAGCGTGAACGATCCGTCCGCGTTCTGCTGACCGAAGCGGTCAATGAAGTCGTCCATAATCAGACATCCCTGTAGCCGTCACATTTCAGCGATGTGTACACTGTGACTACTCATCTCATCGAGTACGCACTGAGATGACACCGATGTCGTATCCAAATAGGAAGCCACCTGGAAGGTGCGACTTTCGTGAGGAGGTTATCCTCGTAATGTAAGTATACACGTACCGAATGCGGTGAAGACGGCGAGCAAGACTGCCTTGCGATTTGAAGGGATAGCCATGGTGTCGTCACACTGCTCGTCCGAATGTCGGTCAGTGGAGGAAGGAGGGCAGGCGATGGCGCGGTCCGACTTGCCTGTCGGTCCTGCTCCTCCTTTTAAACCATCCGGCAAGGGTCTTTTGCGTACCGCCCATTGTCCGGGATTCGCACTGATGGTGCTGGGAATAAGGATCAAGAGCGGTCCGGCCTAACAAGAACATGCGGTCCGTTTGCTCAGAAGAACCCACTTGTGGGCGCTTAGTGTGAGCGGGGTAAGATCTTGTGCTGATGTGGGGCTCCACAAGCCCCGCAGCGGGGATGATGGGACGGGCCCGGACCGACGATTTCCCTTTTCGTCAGAAGAGACATTCGCCAAGGGTTGACATCTCTGATTGGCAATCACCGACATGACATATGACCTTTCAGAGCGAGCGAGTCTTCCTGCGCTGGGTAGGACCAAAACACAAGCTCACTCAACGTCCGGTGCATGATATATGGTGTGTGAAGGTACTAACGGCCTGCATCCGACGTATGAGGCCCCACTGAGTGGCCAACCTGCGCACATATCAAAAATGCACTTGCGGGCCCGAAGCGCCAAGGATGATGTACATACCTGGATAAACTAATAGCCCGATCGTACCCCACAACGCATGCCTCCGGGTGCAAAGGTGAATAAACCTCCGAAGTCGTCCGAGGTGCTCGAGTCCGAACCGGGTGACTGTGCACTGTCCTTTGGGTACGCAGGAACAAGTATTGTAGCGTGGAAACATACGAATATATCGCTTGAGCGGATCGCCGATTTGGCGGTCTTTGTGATTGCGCCACTGCCCTCGGTCAAGGCTAGTACCGGTAGATTAGTAGAAGAGGAGGGTGCCTGTAAAGCGGCTGGCAGGCCTTGGTGACGTACCAGCTGTAGATTCACCCCCTTTTTCCTGGATAGGACGTCGCAGAGCCTCGAGTCGACCGGCACCTAGGTCGGATATCGACGGACCCGAAAGGAGATCAGGCGAGGGATGGCGACATCAGCACCGTCGACAATTTGCCCGCAAGCCGTACTACGTATCCACGCGTCGTCACGTCCTCGCAGTACAGTAGTGTTACATGGATGTATACGCGACCAGTCGCGATGGTCGAGGCTATGAGGAGAACTGAAGGGATTGCGCCAGTGTCGGAGCTACAACGAAGTTGGATTTATACGTGCGTCGCAAGGCAAGGCGAGCGGCGTTGGTGCGTATTTGGCTGGCAATGATCTTGACAGCGATTTCATTAATGTCAGACGATCTCATGGCGTGCAGGCAACGAACGTCGATCATACCCTCCGGATTGGTTCATTGCGTGTCAGCCGCCGGCTGGGATCGCTCCTACGAGGCAGCCCCCATGTCAGCTGCCAATTGGTTGATCAACGTGTATGGTTGTCGAGAAGCGGTGACCCAAGGCCACTCACCGTCGGAACTGCTGACCCCCACGCGCGCAAATTGATGTAAGCACACGGCCGGTCCCTTATCGAATAATGTGCGAGTACTACACATCGCCGCATGCATCGCTCAGTCTAGCTCATCCATCGGGGAACGGCCCTTGATCGCGTGCCAGGCATCCTCGCCCGCCTTGTACGCGTCATACACGTCATTCCCAATCTGCACAACGTCACCGCCCGCCTTCAACGCGCCTTCCACCGAAACCTTTCTGGTGTTCAGAGACCTGTCACGGTTGACACAAGGACAGCGATAGATCAGATCTTTGGCGGAGCGAAACGCCTGACGTGACATACCGTGACTTGACCTGATTCCATGCATCCCTTCCCGCCTTATATGCGTCGTTTCCGACTGTCCATGCGTCTTTCGCAGCATCGAATACCTGTCCAGGTGAAAGCGCCTCGGAGCCCACCGCACTGCGGAGTGTGGCAGGCCGTCTGAGCAAAGCCTCATACATGTAACGCAATAGCAGTGACACATACCGGCCTTTGAACTGGTGGTATGCATCCTTGCCAGCCTCATATGCGTCATAGGCATCATGCCCAATCTGGAAGACACTGCCCCCTGCCTGCAGAACGTTTTGAGTGGAAAGGGTGCCCGAGCCAGCCGCACTGTGAACGGCACACAGTCTAATCCAAACAGCGGTCAAATGTGGCATGATAGCAGTCCACGCACCGGCCCCTGATCTGGTGGTACGCATCCTTGCCCGCCTCATACGCGCCGTAGACGTCGTTCCCAATTTGACGTCATTTCCTGCCTCCAAGACATTTTCAGCTGAAATAGCCTCAGAGCCTACAGCACTATAAGAGGAAGCAGGCACATCAGCACCAAGTTGAAGTGCACTTCGAGTGAAACATGGGACGTACCGTCCCTTGATCACGTGCCACGCGTCCCTG